TAGGGAACTTATTCAAGTATTTTTCTTTTGTTTTAAAGCGTTCACTATACAATATTCAAAGCAAAATTGCCGGGAAAATTTTTCAAAATTGCCGCCATTTTGGTTGCCAGGGGAGGATCATCTTGGCAACACAATTTGGCCGCGCGCGTAGCCTGGAACCTAATGTCCGGATCGAAACGTCCGTGTAATGAGTGTTTTGACAGTGTCATAAGGAATGTGCTTTTCGATGGCGCTAAGGACATAACCTTAGTGACCAACTACATTCCATACCTGTACTAGCACTAGCTTGTGGGCAATTAAATATCTCTTAACTTACCAGGGAGGGGAGGGTGGGATAAAACAGACTTCAAGCAAGCATGCAAAGCAAGTGCAAGCAAGCAACCGCAAACAACAAAGCAACATAAGCCAAATGTCGGTTTCTGCAAGCCTGAAGGGGACCACTGTAGCAGTAGCAGCACCACTGGCATGCTAGCCTCAAGTTTAACCTTGCCTTAATTACATTTTGCCACTGACATTTATTTGATTGTAAATAGAAGGACGAACCATGTTGGAATTAATATTCAGAAATATTCTGTAAATATATTTACAGAGAACAAACAGAGAAAAGACCAGACTCACCAGTTGCCATGGAAACAGAAACATCTCCATCCCCACCTGAGAATCCATCTGCGTCACCAGCGTCTGCTTATGGTAAGAGTAACTATCCCTCTAGACAAGCTATAGTGTTTTTTTTCTGCTACAGACAGCAGTATTAGTGGTTTTGAAATTTCTTACTTTTTAATATTCAAAAATAATAAAATGTAACTAGGAATAAATTGTCCTTCTTTTATAAGGGTAGCACTTTTATAGTCAGTGGCTAACAAACCTGTGGCCCTCGTTCCATGATCAAATTGCAATAGACCAGTTTCGAATTCCAAAATACCGCGGTGTTCCTTGATTACAGACTCATTTGCACAGGGTTAGCCTCATACCAGTGTTTAAGTATTCACAAATACCAACGGTAAAGTAAAGAATGTACAACTTCAACAATACAAAAACTTTGATACTCAACAGACCTTGACTGAAACATGTGAATATTCTGCACAAACTCGAGGCTAACCCTGTGCAAATGAGTCTGTAATCAAGAAACACAGCGGTAATTTGGAATTCGAAATGGGTCTATTTAGACATTAATTTTTGTGAAGGGAGGAAAACTGGTGGACCAGGAGAAAAACCCTCAAAACACAGGAGAGAAACTCTACTCACAGTGATTACAGGGTTCGTTCTACTCCTTGAATTGAAAACACGTTTTTAAGGGCGCTTGAAAAGCCCTTGAAAATAGGGAAGAACGCCATAACTCCTGGAATACTCCTTGAATTTAATGTGAACTTAATGCTATTTCTAACTTTCCTTTTAAAATAAATAACGATTAAAATTGATTGAAGAGTTTCTGGTTTCTTGTTTACTGGTTGGTTGCATGTCATGATTGTTTTTTATTGGTGGATGTGGCCCCGGCTGAATTAGCTGCACTGTAACATTGAATCAATGCTTAAACCACGTTCTAATACAAAAAACTTTGTCCTTGAAAATCGAATTTTTGTGCTTGAAAAGTGCTTAAAAAGTCCTTGAATTTTGTAACGAAAATGTAGCATGAACCCTGTGATTATGACCAAGTCCAAGAATTGAACCTGAGTAGCCAGAGGCGGATCCAGGAATTTTAAAAAGGGGGGTTGACTATTACAAAGGTTTTATGAGGAAAGAGAGGAAAAGGGGGGTGACTGTTACTAACAATATACTGAGAAAATTGAGCAAAAGAGGGTGACTAGTCACCTATATTACCACCCCTGGATCTGCCCCTGGTAGCATTTGCATTGGTGTCACTGCTACACCACACATTCTCCCTTTAATTATGACAAGTCCTTCAAATTTTACTGTGGTTATCATTTTTAGAAGTTGATGAACAAAAACAAGACACAGAGAGTAAAGAAAAGGAAAGGTGAGCAAAGAGCGACCACTAAAACTGTGAACCAAGTTTTTTTATTTTTGATATGTCTATAGTCTGTTGTGCGGGAGGTTGTGGTTCAAGTCTCGTCTGGACCAACACTCAGGGTCTTAAAATAACTGAGGAGAAGATGCTGCCTTTGTAATAATATCTGCAAATGGTTAGACCTTCAGATCTTCTCGGATAAGGACTTTAAACCGTAGAACCTATATCCCAACCCTTCCTAACCTGCAGTAAAATAGGGGACATAAAAGAACCTGTTGAATTATTCATGTAAGAGTAGGGGATTGTCTCCCGGTTCAACAGCCTATCCCTGACTGGAGGCATAATACTAACATACTAACAAATCACTTATGATTGTAAGCTGCACAGCTGCTAAAAGCACCTTAATATGCAGGCAGTACATTCCTCCACTGGTCATAAATTTAAAGCGCATTGAGACGTTGTATAAATGCGCTATATAAGAACCTCCCATTATGTCATAATATTTTTATTATGAGTGAATTAATCTTTTGAGATACAGTAAAAACTCTCAAATCATACTTTGACCCAAAATATTTTGTTTTGGTTTTTAGTGTTGATCTTAGTAAAGGACTGGTGTTGGACTCAAGTAGTGTGTTTAACAGTTCTGCCGAAGAGGATACTACATCTAGCAGCAGTACAAACCAACCTAATCCTCCAGTCACAGCCCCACTACCACCTAGAGCAGCCTCTTATAGGTAATGGAAGTAATAATTCCTATAAACGTTTAACGTTCTTTGTTGATACCCTGAAACAATGTCTGGGCAGATCAAAGTTAGGGCACAGCTTACTCACAGATTAAACCTTGAAACAACTTTGGCAAATATAAGTCAGAGCACAGCAAAATGCACTAAAAGAGAAGTGTAGTTATTATGGGTGTGGCTTTAAGATTAGGCACATTCTCCTACTTGGTATGGAAGAAAATAATATTAAGGTGATTACTAATTAACCTTATAAATATTTCTTTTTAATATCAAAGCTGTGACAAAGGTGAAGGGGCTCCCCTAGCTTCCAATGATAGTGATGATGACATATCTGATGATGATGATGACTTGCCTGATTCAGATAACAAGCCATCTATGTAAGTAACCACTACCCTCTCCCTTGAGCATCAAATTTTCTACTGAGACTTTGGTGTTACCCAGGTCATTTTCTTTTGATACTCCATCAAAAAACAGCCAATCATCGCACAGGAAGAAATCTGACCAGGTGGTCCATTGAATCTAATTAGCAATGATACTGAAAAAACATGGCAACTACAGTCAGAGAAAATAACTCTAAATCCTTGCTTTCCTAGCTATGTTTTGGCCTAGCAATACCTTTCAAATTCGGTACTATTTTCGTGTATGGAAGAACGAAGTACGTCATAGGTTTCCAAAGACATGACTGGTTCTCCTCACTTAGAAAAAAAATTAAGTGAAGACACCAAGAATCGAACTCGGTACCTTCGGCACCAAAGAACTACTACAATGCCAACCCTAACCCTAACCCTAACCCTTAGACCACGAAGCGAATTCGGTTGGGTGGTCTTATTTTTTAGTCATGTTTAAACGATGTATCATCAGCATGTGCACATATATTTATTATAGTTTAATTTATGCTATCGAAGGGTACGACTACTAGCCGATTACTCGAAATTTGAATTTGAATAGAATTCCCCTGACAATTCCCGTACACGACGATACAACCTAAAATTCTACCTATACTTATTATTACGACTAGCTATGGGTCAAATGGTGCATTTTGGTTTCAATTCTTTTATGAAATTATCTTGCAATAATACCTCTTTATGCAATTGACTGCCTGATCAACTACAACAATCCTTTGTGCATGTTCCCTGAGATCACCTGGCAGGTACTGGGGGATGACCTATGGCTTGGTTGCCCTTGTCACCTCCTTTTCAAGCCTGACTTTGCAAAGTATCACATCTAACAATGTTTGTTGTTCATGTTTTAGAGTTCCCGAAAACCTTAAGCTCCAGGCTGAACCATTTGGGAATGCATTGGTGAAGACACCACACATGACGTCTGCTGATAATAGTACTGCTGTATGTAGATAGACAGAGATTATTTATAGACTTTTTAAATGAATATTTGCGAGTCATTTTTCTAGTGGTTACTAAGACAATAAGATTCATTTCAAACTCTGGATGGAGATTTTGAATTGAATCTGATTTACGATTTCTCCACGAAAACATATACTACTAACACATTAAAAAATATTTATAGTGAATGATATAGCTATAGCCATAAAAAAGCACTACAGAAATCAAAATTATGGGGATGCAAACATTCAAAAATGGTTAAGTGCCTTCCTAGGGGTGCCCTCGTAATATTACATGATTAGGCATACTGTTCCATTCAGTGCACAGCGCACATGAACCCTTTGACAATAATTTCAGCACCGATTCTACATAAAGTAAATAGTTGATTGGTAAAATATTTCTTGATTTGAGTGATGCCTCTTTAAGTTTTGAAGTTTTATACTTCCAATACGTTAATGAGTGTGACGTCTATTAAGGTATTGATGGTATTCAACCATTCCCAAGAGAATTAAATAACAAAAGACACAGCGGCCATGTTGGAGGGTATGACAAAATAATTCATTGACAATTCTTTTGTTAAATTCCTCCAACATGGCTGACGTGAAAACCATCAATTTGACTAGTGTTTTTGTTGTAGTTAGTAATACTAAATGCTGGCCATTATGAGAAACAATTTAAACAGCTTTCATGTAAACAACGAGTAAAATAATGATGCTTTTTAAATACTGTATCTATGAACCAGATCGATTTTGTATATTTAATCAAGCTTTAATAGACGTCACGCTTATTAGCATAAAGGAGTCACCTATTTCTGTAATAGATTTCTTATGATGTCTTTTGTTGTTCCATCATACAGTCATGTGATAACAGTCGTGAAGAGCCAATAGCAACTAACCCATCTAGTACTAATGCCACACCTGCAAACGACCAATCAGAGGCTCCCAAGGATAATGGGCCTGTAGACTTTGATGACGATCAAACGAAGCATCAGAGTAACAGCAAGGCAGCTAAACACGAAGACTCCAGGTAATGTTTACAGAAGACTTGTTAGAGGAATTTTCTATTGTTGCCCATACAAAGGCAGCCATGAAACCATTCTTTTTGTTGGTGAGGCCTGAATGCCTGGGCAGTGAAATGCTGCAATGATTTTGCACAAGAAGCGGTTTTCTTTCCTAAAAGAGAATTTTCTATTGTTGCCCATACAAAGGCAGCCATATGAAACCACTCTATTGTTGGAGAGTCCTGAATGCCTGGGCAGTGAAATGTGAACATTAAAATAATAGAGCTGTATAAATTGCCCTATTTCACTATGACGTCACATCAAAACAATCTATTGTTTTAAATCAAAGGATCATGGTCGTCGGAGGGGGTCAAATCAACGCAAATTCACCGAAAATTGTTCTAAAACCCGTATCAATCCACGAAGAGAAGTAGAATATAGCCAGCAAACACTCAGAATATTTTTTAGTACATATTAACAGATATTATATCTGAAAACCAGGCCATTTTAGATCAAACTGTTTCGCTAGGAGCAAATTTTGTTGAATTTTCTATCGGATTTGGCGATTCTATCCCCCACATAAACAAGCAGTGACGTCATAGGGAAATAGGGCAATAGACTCGTTTCGAATTCCAAATTACCGCTGTGTTTCGTGATTACAGACTCGTTTGCATAGGGTTAGCCTCGAATCAGTGTCTAATTACTCGCAAATACCAACGGTAAAGTAAAGAGTGCACAAGTTCAACAATACAATCACTTTGAAACTCGACGGACCTTGACTGGAACACGTGAATATTCTGCACAAACTCGAGGCTAACCCTGTGCAAATGAGTCTGTAATCAAGAAACACAGCGGTAATTTGGAATTCGAAACGGGTCTATTGAAAAGATATGTTCAAAAAATTTATTGCAATTACCAGGATTTTGCCCTCCTCCCCTTCCTCTGATCATTTATGACCTGCAAGAAATGTATAATTCAGAGAAAATCAGCTAACCCTAGTAATTGCTTCATATTTGTTTGTTTCTTTCTAGGTTACCAATTCCCAGTCCTTCAGAGACGCCACCTCTTGCAAATGGACCAGGTTAATGGCTATGTCAGATGTTCACTACCCTTCGAGACATCATTATAACTTACAACAACTTGTATACATTCAGAATCCCAGACGCATTTAGGTATTATTACTCAATTAAGCTATAATGATTGGTATGGTAGTCAATGAATGTACAGTGTAATCAACCTGCCAATCGAAAAATCTGGTTTATTAACAATTAGGAGTCGTTTTTATTTTTATTATACTGAGTTATTGCTATTAATCTAAAGGCCAAACCCTTTGGTTCCAGTCCTGATCAAGCTGATTGTAATCTGGTGAAATGATGGTATATATGAAGCAATCTTTTTTACCTATGATTTTTTACTGGAACCGTTTTGTGGATGCAGTACGTATTCGCCTCAATTATGATATTGATTATAAGGCTTCTCATTAATCCCATATAGGTAACTGTCCAATTATTTTCTTAATTGGACAGGTCTCGTTGATATGGGATTAATTAGGCAGCTATATAATTAATAGGTAATGGGATTTCATGCTCCCCAATCAAGAAATAATTAGACTCGAAAAATTCCTCTGACTACTGGAAGTCCTCGGAATTTTCCTCGTCCAATTATTTCGTATTTGGACAGCATGGAGTCCTATTACATATACTAACTATCAGTTAAACCATGCAATAATTTTTCATATCTGGATTAAATAGGTCTGTGTTTGTCATTTGTGACATGTGTAAGAAACATTAAGTACGCCTCATTGAATTGGATCTAGTTATACCAGTTATACTAGTTATCCATATCTTTAATTTTTTTTTTTGCCTGAATACATAACCAGATATATTTGGGAATCTTCAGATATATTTGGTAGTACTTACTGCCATTTTCATAGATATGCAAACTTGGTAGCGACAAGCTGCTTCCTCGAATTTGTTTTTTTCACTACCGCCAGTCAAAAATATGAAAGCTACCGACTGATTAGTTTTGATTGACGCCAGCGAAAAACCAAATTTCAGCGTGCACCTCGCAGCTACCAAGTTTGCATGTTTATGAAAATAGCATTGTAATCAGAAGTTTATCAGGCTCATTGAATAGCTTTTGGTATTGATTGAATGGAAAGCCTGATCTCATTCCTTTGTATCAAATAGATTTTTTATTTCACTGATTCTCTCTTGCTGCATAAGGCCCCGTCCACACGTGACCGCAAATTTTTGTGTCCGTATCCGCAAATTTTACGAAAACGGATACGTGTGTACGGTGAAAACGATTCGAATACGCTGCGTGTGGACGCAAACATTTTCGTATCCGCAAAAAAAAATTTGCGGATAAAAAAATTTCCGGATACTTGTGGACGGGGCCTAAGTTCTAGGTATCACAGGCCCCGTCCACACTATGCCGGATAAATTTGAATTCGCAACTTTCACACCGAAACCGGAAAAAAAGTTGTCCGTCCACACATGAAAACGGATAAAATGCTTCGCGTCCACACTAGTCCGATCAGAGGCGGCAAAAATGCGGTGAATTTTTAGCCTTCCCGCCATGTTCCCATGACAATCATGACGTCATCGTATTCGAAAAATTTCGGATACGATATGTTCTCCGTCCACAATAATACGGCTAGCCGGCGTTTTCAAATTGTTCCACTCTGGAGACCGTATTCGAAAAAATTCGTTTTCGGTGAAGAATTGTTCCGGATTCGCCCGGATTAGTGTGGACGGTAGGCCTAACCGAATAAATAAAAATTCGGATTCAAATTTATCCGGCATAGTGTGGACGGGGCCTCAGCAATCAAGATGCTGTTGTGTTAGACACATTTTACCATGAGAAACCAATAAATTTTCTCAGTAGTTCAGGGCTTGAATCCTGTTTAATCAAGAAGTTCTACAACTATGAACTCAAAGCCGCTAACTATTTGGAAGTCAATAATTTAGGATAGTATTATGAAATAATTAGTCTATCGCAGGGTCATTTTCACAGTGAGTGCTGCCAGCGAAGACCTGCCAGCAGTTGATATGAGGCATGTAAAATCCCGTTTGAATATTTTCAAGTCCTTACCACTTGAAGAAGCCTTATTTACCTTTGTGAAACATGTTCCATGGATAGAAGATTCAATGAACCCTACCTTCCTTTTGAAAATTCCTGCTGATAATTTACTCTGAATTTTCCGGAATCATTACTCTGTAAATCCACATCATCAGTGGAGTTTTCTTGAAGAAAGAGTACTGGTCTTGCACTCTCTTATACATCTATTTCAAAAAACGTTGTCATCGCCTAAGTCGATAGGTGATAGGTAAATCCTAGACGGAAATGGTTTCGTTGAACACAAAAAACATTGAGTCAGTCTCAACACTAAGGTCCATGTTCTCGACGAGAATAAGAAGCACAAACACAAGTCATTCCAGCTATTCTTGGATCCTGGAATAACGAATCTCGCCTATTATCTATAGCCTTTGATGATGACAAAGTTCATTGAAATAGGTGTACGACTATAATATAAGCTATTGAATTCAAACTGTCACACTTCTAGTGTTTGAATACTGAACACAGTTACTACACAACAAACTGAGACTTAAGGGCTTGGTTCTTTTTAAAATCTTGTTTGTATTATGTATTGATAATGAAAAGGGACAAAATGTAGATGTTACAGAGACAATGTAAAGATAAAGGCATACTTGTAGATAAGCTAACATTTTTGTGTAACTGTTCAATGACAAACTAATGGTAATCAAAACTGGTTTGGATCTTATACTTAGGGGGGTAAGCCCCGGGGGTGGGGTGGGGGGGTAATCCCCTATATCCAAACAGGGTATGGCTTTCAGCGATTCTACTCTGGAACAGGGTACAAAATCTAGCTAGCTCTCTGGAACAGGGTATATAAAATCACACTCTCTCTGGAACAGGGTATCTATTTTCGCAAGTAACCAACCAGGGGAGAAAACATTGCATTGTATTTCCAGCTTTTATTGTCAGGGAAAGGACTTTTTGGATATATAGAGATTATCGCATGTTAAGAGCTTGATATCGTTTTTATTCACGAACGAGCTAGTCTGCAAGCGAGTGAGTGATATGGTATGGAAAATGAGCGAATAAAAAAGATATTAGGCTCTTAACATGTAATAATTTGTTTATTACACATCTAGGGTCGATACAATACAAAACTCACAGTTTCCAGGTTTCTGTGAAGTGATATCCTATCACTTCCCTGTTATGGTTTTTATCTGCAACTTTAAATTTATCACACTGATATCGACCCTAAAGTGTAATAAATTATGGTTTGCACTCTGGGTGCCTTCAACTACTTCGTCTACGATTTGCATACATACTTGCATACTTTATTACAGTTCCCTATGGGGCTCTTACCCCTCACAACAGAGGGACATTGGTTGGTGGTCAAGACCTGTGTACCTTTGGTAATGCTATTTAGTATTGCTAAGAAGCAAAAGGGGTTGAGAAATCTCCCAACTTACTGTGCAAAACAGAAGTGGTTAAAGGAGATCCAGGGATAGCACCTAGTTTAAGTAGCTGCAAAGACAATCAAATTCTTCCTCAGACTGTACCAAAACTGTCTGGAAAAGTTGACTTAAATCTATATGTATTTTACTTTACATCAATCATACAGGGAATGATTGCTTGGTCATACATGTACCAGGAGGCACTTGAATATCACTGGGCATTATGACACAACATCAACCATGCAGGGAATGATAGTTTGGTCATACATGTACAAGGAGGCACTTGAATATCACTGGACATTATGTCACAACATCAACCATGCAGGGAATGATAGTTTGGTCGTACATGTACGAGGAGGCACTTGAATATCACTGGGCATTATGTCACAACAT